TGAACTTGTCTTCTGTGTGAACAGCTCATGATGGAGGAGTGTCAGGACTTCTCTCTTCATGGCAAATCTGTTGTAGCTGAAGATAATCTGAGTAAGTCTGAAGTCGGTTATACAACTTTAGTTTCACACTTCCTGTTTGTACTGAATATGTCGTATTTTTCTTCATGTTTTTACAGGAGATGAGTACTACTGGAAGCTCGTGGCGGATTTTATCGGCCCTCAGTCAGGGGAGGGGCTGGATCTGGATCAGGCGAATTGCAAGAACAGACTCCTGATCCAAGTGGGGCTTCTGAGAGAAGACAACAACTTCCCCTGGGTCGCCATCACTAACTGGCTGAAGAAGATCTTCCCCAGYCATCAGTCGGCTGACTTCCGGCGCTTGATCGAGCGGGGCATCGTGACCACGCTGAGTCTCGGCGTGGACGCCAGGGTTTCCTTCCTGGAGTCGCGGGTCAACTTCAACTTCGTGGGTCCGATTTGCGACAGCATCGGAGTGGAGCGGCAGCACCTGCTGGAGCTGAGGGACTTCTCCGAGCGGGCGCAGTTAGTCGAGGTCACGAACGGGCTGATCCTGGAGCTCAGCAACTTCGTCTCCAGGGAGAACATCTCCCCCGTGGTCATGGTCACCTGGCTGAAAAACTTCAACCCGCAGTTCTGCAAGAACGGCGACATTCAGAAGGCCTACAGGAACCTCAAGTCCAAGATCAAGAAGCTGAAAGTTCACTGCAGCAACTACGAAACAAGAAGCCACAGAAGGAACGCGGCCATTGAAAACATGCTTCAGAGTCCGTTTGAGCTGGTCTGCAAGAAAGAGCCGAAGCTGCTGATGAAGAAGCGCCTGAAGAGGGACGACTACGAGAAGATCACCATCAAAGAGGAGAGCGAGAGCTTTGAGATCTCTCAGGCTGAGGGCTCGGAGGTGGACCGAGAGCGGCGGCGGGARCGTTTGGAAAGTAACGACGAGAGCGAGACCGAGCTGAACGTGTCCGGCATCGCGACGGAAAGTTTGTCCAACAAAGGAGAGTCTCTGGCTCTGCTGGACATCGCCATGCTGTCTGTCCAGAAGCTGTCCCGCGTTTACGGAGGGAACTCTGCAGCGTGCAAGCAGGTGTCCTTGGACCTGCTGAAGAACCACTACACCCTGACCTACAAGGAGCACCCGGCCATGGAGGAGTTCGAGAAGAAGATCAACGCGGTGCGAGAGCAGTTCCCCATCGTGCCTCCTGTGGTCTTCTTAAACTACAACGCCAACTTCCTGGTGGCCCTGCACGACGCCATCGAGCAGCAGATCACCAGCTTTGAGAAGGACATCATCCTGTCCACTGGGGAGAAACTGGGCCGAGACAAGCTGCCCAACTTCAAGAACTTCATCAGTTTGCCCGAAAGCGCCACCTGCCGTTACATCCACATGGCCTGCGATGTCCTGAGCCCCCGCAGCCCCGTCAAACCCAACTACCGCAAACACTGGGTGGCCTTCTGCGAGGAGAAGGGGAACCCGTCCAAGCTGGCGGTGAACCAGTCCAACAGGTTCAACAACTACTTCGAAGCGGCGGCGGGTCTCATCCACCACCACAAGGAGGTGGCGCTCTTCTTCTCGGACCTCCTGTCCATGGCCAACGACGCGTGTCCTRACATCGTCCTGGAGAGCGTGGCGGCGGACGCCAACGACTCCATGATCCAGAGCTTCGTGTGCGTCCTGGCCATCGTCTACTGCAAGGTGGTGGGTCCGTACTGGCAGCTCCTGAAGAGCGGGGGCGAGTACTCGTTCTACAACCAGTACCTGCTCTGCCTCTACCAGAAGTTCCTGGACTGGTCCAAGGATCCCTCCAATCTGCTGGAACCAGAGGAGTCTACCAACATCTTCACGCAGTTCCCGCTGCAGGAACGGACCTTCAGTGGCATCTTTAGTTTTTGTGGCCAGTGGCACACCAACCGGGACCTGATCCGGGCCTGCCTGAAGAGGACCATAAAGGTGATCGCCGCCGTCACAGAGGAGCACCTGAAGGACTTCCTGCCCGGAGGAGTCTTTTCCAAAATCCCCCCGGTGGACGTGTGCCTGCAGATGGTGAGCTGCACCTTCTCCGTCCTGATGGCAGAGTACCCCTTCGGCCACTCGTACTCCTACCAGAAGGCCAGACYTGATGGTTCCTCAAACCAGAACCTGTCAGAAGACGACGACTCAGCCGAACCTTCTGACGACAGCTCTGATGACCTCTCCAGGAAAGTATCCCAGATAGAGGAGGTCAGCCCCCAGGCGAAGAAAGTTCAGCGACGAGTGGAGGAGGAGGAGCCGGAGCTCAACATGGATCTGGACTACATCGTAGCTACGGTGAGCCAGAACAGGGGGCCGTGTAAAACCCAGCAGGACGTGGACAAGCTGCTGCTGCTGCTGGAGGGGAAGCCGCGGTCAGTGAAGCAGGAGGCCATCCGCTGTGAGATGCTCTACCAGAAAATGGTTCTGAACAACACGGACCCCCACCTGGATCACGTTTACCTCAACAGCACACAGATGGTGGGTAAGCTGAAGCTGGCCCTCCCGCGAATAAAACCCGGCTTCTCTCTCGTGTTGGCGCCTAGAAAGACCAAACCCAAAGCTTTGGTCGCGGTCGCAGCCGAACCTTTGCCTGCTCCGAGTGAAGCCAGCGTCCCGACGGCAGCTGGAGAAGAAAGACCCAACACTTCCACAGGTGACCTGGTGGTCCCACCTGAGCAGAAACTCAGCTGAAGACCTGGACCTGTTCACACCAACACAACCGTCTGGTTTCTTCTAAACATCTTTTAGGAAATGTTCTGTTGGAAGGATCTGACTTTACCTTTTTTACTGTATTTTTCCCTGAAAAACAACTTTTCTTGTTGGTTCATTTCTTCTGATTTCTTCTGATTCAAACGTTGATCATCAGGTTAAAAATAAACACCTTTTTTGTTYGTATTTAGTTGTTTTTTAATAAATTCCACACAGTAAACAGCTGAAAAAATGCCAGRATTATGAGTCAGAGGTTCATTAGTTTTAAGCTTATTTTAGTTTCAAACTGCAGGTAGGATTACTTTAAATAACAAAGATTTAACCAAACCATATTGAACTGTTTACTTTATGGAAGATTATTTCTGTTTATGTTTTTGCAAAATTACAAATTGTTTTTGCTTATTTGGTTCTGTTTAAACTGGTCCAAACATCACATGTTTATTTTATTTGACAGAAACTAATGAGATCTTTTACTCTACATTAAATATTTATTTTTATATTCTTCTCAGCTATTATTAATCAAAGGAGTGTCCAGGTTTAGTGTTTAAARGAAGATCTGCCCTCGTGCTCTGCTTCCTCTCAGGTTTTGTGAACTTTGTCCCAGATTCTGTCCACGATTTCTGACAGAACAAACGAGGGAAGGAAAACAAACGAGTTGCCAGGTGGGTGAAAATACGAGCAGGAAGGAGGAGGGAGTTTGTGTCTGGCTGGTTTGATAATTAGACGACATGATGCCACGAATAAAACACATGTTTTTAGTTAACATAAATGCCAAAACTAGTATGTTTTATTCACTACAGGTGCTGGTCATAAAATTAGAATATCATGAAAAAGTAGATTTATTTCAGTAATTCCATTTAAAAAGTGAAACTTGTATATTATAGTATATTCATACATTACATACAAC